GGGCTTAACGGAAATTTTATCGATCTTCCTATTTGGCTGCGCTGGTATTCGGTTGTACCTATGGTGTGATCTTCCAGCTCTCAATGCAGTGTGGCCGTTGTGTTTTCTCCTGTGAACTCGGAGAAACTGGTAACCTACTTTGGTCTGACGAAGGTTTGGTGGCTACGTGTGATGCCAAAGGTGTTAACCAGATGATGGGATCATCGTGCTGTATAGGTGTTGGTATGATGTGGTGGTGAAGGTGGGCGTCGAGTCGATTTTTTCCAGTTGGCGTTTTTTTGTTCTCTTCTCTTCACTCTCCTCTGTGGCCTTGAGTACTCACGACGGGTGTTAAGTGTTTATCAGTTCCGTTAATTTATATACCTCACCGTTATGATGGCCATAGCGCCATAGAGTAGAGTAGGTGACTGAGGGCATTGAGGGATCGCACGAGTGGTTGATTAACTCATATGGACGATGAGATCGATATGGGTGGAATGATTGTTTTGAGTTCTATCCACTTTTAACGACGAATGACTCTCGACAGTTAGGGTGCAGCGGCGATCGGAAGGGTGGTAGAGAAAAAAAGGGATCATAGGGGTTACGGTCTCTCGTACGAATGTTGGTGAGCTGTTTGAGGTAGGGTGTGAACTGAGAAATAGCGGTATAGGTATTTAAGAGATTACGGATGTGATACGTGGGTGTACGAAGTAAGGATGAATATATTGAGTAGGAAATTATAATTTATTCAATTATGAATAGTCGTGACATTAGGGAGGCGGAGTTGGAAAGACTGTGGAGCGATTTTGAGAGAGAGGTAAACGACTTCGTACCGATCCTACACATCGCGTTGCACGAACACACCGTGGATACAAAAAACGAACTAATTACTTAACTAGATAGAGTGTTGGGCAGGGTTTACAGTGTGGGGTGCATACTGAGGGATCTAAGGAATAGGAGGGAAAGGATTCTGAGGAGGCGGCAGAGAAATGATGAATAATCAGGGTGGGTTTGTTCCGAATGGACAACAGTTACCGTACGGATATGAGCAACCCTCCAGAGTGGGGGGACTCAGGGTAGGGGGTGGAGGAATGAATCAGGGAACGGTGCTATGTCACATATGCGGGAAGACCGGGCATTACGCTCGGAACTGCTGGCAGGCAGCTAATCGTGTGCAACCAACGCAGGACCCTGATAACATTGAAATGAGATAGTACTACCGTAAAGCGGTTCAAAGAGAGAAGGAAGAATCTGAAAGAAGATCAAGGGAAGAGGTGGAGAGAAGGAGGCTGGACGAGGAACAGAGGAGGGAAGCGGAGAAACTTCGGGAAGCGGAGGCAAAGGAAGCGCGTTTAGAGGCGACCATTGTGAGGTTGCTTTCACAACACAACAAGTGACAACATGCTATCACGTCCGGCTCTCCACAAGTGAAGAAGAAGTCACCAAGAACTAAGATTAAGATGCTCAGGGAGATCCGGAGCTATATCGATGAATCAGAGGATGACAGTGAGGAAGTAAGGGAAGAGGCGGTTAGACTGGTGGACGCTATAGAGAAACGAAAGAGGATAGGAAAGAAGAGGGGATTCACGGAATTAGGGGCCGAGCAATCTACAGGAAGACTCTACAGCAATCAAGTTGATACTCCGAAGAGAAAGCGAGCTGAAGCTCTGAAGACAAAGAAGGCAGGTAAGACTCCCGTGGAAGAAGCTGAGGACGAACAGGATGAAGCTTTGAAGACGTCGATGAAGGGTCTGTCAGCAGCCTGCTCCAACGAAGGTATGATTGAGTACGCGTTGGAGGTACATAGAAGGATGTCCGCCAAAAAAGTCCCGGAGCTTCGGAAGATTTATAGCAAAGAAGGCGTCCCTTGGTCGAAGCGTGATAGTGTGATATGTGAGTTAGTCCGATGCCGAACTCGATTGGCATATGAAGGATTCAGTGAAAAGGTAGATGTTCCTTCGCCGATTGTAGAGAAGTGATAAGTTGTTAACAAAATGGATGATCTGAAGGATTGTACGCTAGCCAGATTGGAGAAGTTTAAAGAGGGTGGGAAGTTGGTCCACTACGAGTTGGAGAATACGGTGACGAGGCAGTCTCTACTGCTCGCAGTAAGAGGTCATTTTCCGTGGATGAGGAAATGGGTGGGAATTTTGAATGACGAGGCGACAGCAACAATAGACACGAGGGAATCAGGGGTGTACATCATAGTTAGCCCTTGGTGTAAGCATTTGTACGTTGGGTGTACGGTTAGGAAGGTAATTACCAGGTGGGCAGAACACGTGAGGTGTTCCACCTCCGGGAATTTCAGTAACGCTAGGAAATTATATGTGTGGCTCCGGAGGTTCGGATGGGAGAAGTATATCATTCTTCCAGTTGTAGTCGGGGTTACAGACCTGGTGCATGTTGAGAAGATGCTCATATCAAGGTTCTCGCCGGCACTGAACAACATTGGGAGGAAGCAGGGAGGCTCGAAGAAAAGTCGAAGGAAAGGAAAGAGGGAGAGAGGAAAAAGGAGCTTATTCGCGGATCAAGGTACGGTGATTAGCTTCAAGATTGACGGACAAGTATCGTCATCATTACTTGAGATAATCTGGGAACTGAGAGGGATCGTGGGAACACACCAGATAGAGTCCTCCGGCGGAAAGATGTGGAGTGATGGATGGCGCACCCTGAGATCAAAGATTGGGGAAACGACTATAGAAATGGGAGGGGTAGCGAAATGTATCAAATACTGTCGTTCGATGTTGGAAAAAGGTGGTGTTTTTATGGTGAAGAAGGTGTGGATTGCTTCATCTGCGATAGAGCACCGGAGAAACTATCTGAAGAAAATGTTGGCTCGGCCTTACCGTATCAAGCAAGCATACAAGATGAATTCGTCGAAAGTGATTGCGTTGTATCGGACAGCAACATTTTTTACCAGGAAGAAATCCAGGAGCAGTTTAAAGTTGAAGATTGCGAGAGTCATCCGTGCGAAGTTTGGTGAGGACATCCAGAAAAGGTGGTTCGTAAGAATTTCATTCTCTCCGTTGGTAAGAGTAGCGAAGGTAAGGGATCTCGCTGCAAAGATTATTGAGCAGGTCATTCCGGACATCTCTACATGTAGGTATGTATCGGCCAGGGTAAGGGTGGTCATTATGAAGAGGAGGACAGTTGGAGACCTGATACACAATCACGGAGTTTGGGTGAAGCAGGACGCAACGATATGCACCTGTTCTACCTACGATCTTCCTCGTGTTCAAGGACATGTGAGGGCAAGGTTAGATGAGGTTGCTCATGCTCCCAGGTTTCTCCATAACTCCAGGAATGTCACGAGAGGGAGGGAGAGGATCGACAATGTTCTGAAGGGAGTTGTGGAAGCCGCAAAACCTTGGGCTAAAGGGAGGAGAATCTGCATAGATGACGAGGAAGTGCAGGCTTGTTGGATGAGGAAAGAGGGTAATGCAGCAGGAATGACAGAGGAACAGGTAAAGTCTTGGATAAGGTCATACGCCAAGTTGGTTGTAGTTCCTGTAGACAGGAATCCAGAAGCCACGGTCTTATTATGTCCGGTACTGTATCTGCATTGACAAAACATGACTTTCAGATGGAATGGTGGGTACGTAATCGAAGAAAGAGAGGACTGTGAGGTTTTGAATGCAGGTAGAAGGGACTATGTAGCTAGTGGGCTGACGAAAATTGCGGAGTGGGGCAAAAATGGGAGGATTGGTAACGCATACGTAATCCCGAAAGATAAAGATCTGGATCGTTGGAGGCCGATTGCTCCAGCCACGACCGATCCGGCACGTTTGGCAAGTGCAAGGTTGGGGAGGGCTGTGAGATATATGCTTATTTGCCTGAAGAAGAGTTGTCATTTCGATCTTACAGCCACTGAAGAGCTATGTCAGGTGCTCCGACGTTGTCAAAAATCGTTGGGGAAGGGGAATGATGTTGCTCTGGCGCGTAGCTACGATATAAAGGACATGTTCGCTAAGTTATCCCACGCAAGCGTGCATGACTCAGTGGACTGGGTGCTGAACATACATGAGAGTAAGGGACTGCGAGCGATCAGGGTGAGCAGGAGAGGGAGGGAATGTAAGATGACGAGGTCTATGGCTCATGAAGATGGTTATGTTACGATGGAGTTTGAGCTGGTCAGGAGGATGTTGGAGTACGATCTCTCCCATGCGTATGTGAAGAGTGGGTCGGTAACCCTGCGACAGGTGTTTGGCATTCCCATGGGGAGGAGCTCAAGCCCGGCCCTGGCATGCCTGGTATGCACGAGAGCCGAAGCAGTGTTCTTGTCCTCCCTTGGCAATGACAGACACCTGGTTGGGGGAGTCCATATCATCGATGATGCGGCCATATTCGTGGGAGTAAGATCTTCCGACATTCGTGCATGCGAAAAGGCTGCAGGTATTCTGACGAGATTTGAAAATGCCCATGATGACGAACTGAAATTGGTCAGAAAAGACAAGGACACAAATTCATTTGAATTCTTAGGGGCAGTCGTGTATGTGGGCATTTGTCCTATTGAGATAAGGGTCATACCAAAGACGAGGAATCAAAGTCACTTGAGTCAGTTGCGGAAGATCAGGATCCACTCTCTTCAGGACTATAACTCATTCTCATTCAATGAAGAGATCCGTTCTGGCTGCGAGCTTCCTAAGGATAAGTCGGATGGCCTCCACGGAGGAGGATGCACTGGCTGCAATTATAGCTACGGTTATGGAAGCAAACCTCCGGGGATAACCCCCGGAGGTCTCTCTCGGTTCTCTAGCTCGTTTTGCTAGGGTGGTTGGGGGTAACTGGGGGGCTTTGCTCCTCAATGTTTACCCCGGCCTGGGTATGTACCTTAGATAGAAAGAAGGTCAGGTAATTAATCTTTTTGCGGATGTAGGCAAAGGTGAGGGCCCTGTGCTCTATTCCGATTAAAGGTTTGACGAAGGGACCCGGTGGTTCCGATCAAAGGTTTTTTGCTTTTTTTTATGCGTTTCAGTTTTTTCAAAAAACAATTTGTGAAAATTGGACTATGCGAGGTGTGCAGTTTTTTCTGAATACGAGTCGGTTTGATATAGCAAATCCGGTGTTCGGGGTCGGTCTGCCATATCTGAGCGTCGGGGGCAGTG